TCCTTCCGCTTCTTGGGCATTTGTTCTTGATGTGCCCGGCTTCACCACATCCATAGCACACAGGGCCATCCTCAATCTTTTCTTTCTTCCTTAGAAGCTTGCAAAACTTTTTCATGACAAGCTTGACTTCATCATCGTCGCTTGAGTCATTCATCGTTGGTTCTTTGAAGGCTTTTAATGCTATGCCTTTCCTTTGGTCATTCAAAGACGGGTTAAGTATAGTAGATTCATAAGTTTTTAAGTTACCTCTTAAACCGTCGATGGTGACATGTGATGTGCCGATTGACTCATAGATGGCATCGGCCTTAGATCGCCATTCGGATGTCAAGCTCCATAGGATCTTTCGTACAAGATCCCTGTCGGTGTAAGTCTTCTTCAATGCATGAAGATCGTTAACTATCTTGGAAAATCGGTCAAACATGTCGTCGATCTTCTCGTGCTCCTTCATCCTGAACATCTCATATTCTTGGGTGAGGAAGTCAATCTTGGCTTCACGTACTTGGTCCGTTCCTTCGTACGTCACCTCAAGTTTATCCCACATCTCCTTGGCGGTTGAGCAGTAGGAGATCTTGCAGTAGTCATCAGGATTTACGGCACAATAAAGCATGTTTATTGCCTTTGCATAATTCTCGACCTTTTTGATGTCCTCGGCATCAAACTCGTCTTCGGTCTTGGGGATCAACTTGTCTCCGACTTTCTTCATCGGCACCTCTTCCCCGTTTTTGATAACCATAATTGGAAGTTCGTGGAACGAATATAGATTCTCATTCATTCTTTCCAATATGTATAATTGGTTCCATCAAAAAGAGGTGGCCGTGTGGTTGATTGCCCTTCACCTATTCCTGCATACAAATTTCTAGAACAAGAACCCATGATCGCTTTACTCTCAAACGGTTAAGTTTGGACGCGAGTTAGGCTCTGATACCAATTGTTAGAATAAGTGACCAACGCTAGAGGGGGGGTGAATAGCGTTTGATCGTAGAAATCGCAGGAATAAAAAAAATTAAGGACGTGAAAAGTAAAGAGCGTAGAAAGCGTAAAGGGAGCACACCAAGATTTATACTGGTTCACCACAACGTGTGGCTAATCAAGTCTCCCGAGAGACTCTCTCGAGCTACACTACTTCCGTTAAGCTTACGGATGCTTAACAAACCGTTACAACCTGAGAACTCGAGTCCCACAAGCCTCAACAACCTTGCTCGGAGATACCGCACTCCAAGACTTCAACCCGAAGGAAAATACCTTTCCTTCGTACAACCAAGGGAAACAAGCTTCCCTTAACGTGTATACAACACTAAGACACTCAAGAACAAGACTCTCCTTAAGAGTGGATATGAGTAAAATATATACGCTCAAGAACAACTCAAACTTCACACAAATTGGCTCTAGAAAGCTATGGAAAA